CTGCGCGCAGTCTTTCTGCAAGCGTGGCGGGAAGCTCATCATCCTGACCCGCATTTCCGGAATATTCTCCGAGGGCTCCGAGAGTTTCGCGCCGCAGATTGGTGGGACGGAGCTCGACAAATACCCTGGAAGTGGAGGCGAACGCTGGGCGCAGCACAGCGGACTAGTGGACACCCGCCCGCCTGGGACGACGTGTTTTGCAGCGTGTATGGGCCTCAATGGAGAAAGTTCCGCGACACTTTCGGCACGGTGAACGAGTGGAAGAAAAACGTCACGACTTTCACGAACACGGTTTGCGAGGTTTGGGGATTGCCGCTCATTCCTGTCCCAAGGACAAACGTTGCATCGGACGTTGATGCTGCGCACGCACCACGTGACAATGCGCCGCCGCGGAAGAAATCCCGCCAATACGCCGTGCACGACTGCCCGGTACATCACAATGGTGACGGCTTTGGCGAGGTGTTGGATTGGGAAGGTCAAGGGCGACGCTGCGTGTTCATCGTTGATTGCCAACCGCTTCAGAGAATTTCCATGGGAATCGCGCCGTTGACTCGGGATCCGGACGCCGAGCCCATATTTCACAGTATTTGCAGCAGTATGTTATCTATACTTCAGCATGCTTGGGCACCGCCTTATCCACACTGCGATCTGGTTACATGGCGTAAGCGCGACTACAATGTGGTGGCTGATTGGCTTGTCAATTACACAATGGATACCAAGATGTCGTGGAGCAAGCAGTTAGACTTTCCGTTCGACAACACGCCCCTTGAACAGTGCAACGTCGTGGTGCATTCGGACGGCGGCACGCGAATGGGAACGTGTTCAGCCACCGGTTGGATTGTCGAAGTGGGCGTTCACGACGGTCATACATGGGTGTTCCGCCCTCTGTTTATGGCCGGAACGTACGTATCTTCTCAAATTTCTTCGTTTCATGCGGAGGCACTGGCTTTGGAGGAAAGCGCGCTGTTTGTGAGTCGGTTGTTTGTAGCAAGAGCAGAGCAGTAGTCCGTAGATGGGAGTGATGTAGTCAGCTGGCCTCCGAGGGGCCTCAGGCTTAGCGAAATGAAATGAAAAGGAGGAGGAGGAGGAGGAGGAGGAGGAGGAGGAGGAGGAGGAGAAGGAGGAGGAGGAGAAGGAGGAGGATGAGGAGGAGGAGGAGTGGAACCGGAAGGGGAGAGGATCGAAGAAGAACACGCTGCAGACGCATACGCTGTCAGAGGTCCGCGCGGATCTCCGCGTCGGCGTGGGGCTTCCCTGGATCGGCGTCTCCGACTCCGCCCCTGGGAGGGGTGCCCAGCGGGGGGTCACCACCAGAGTGGCCACTCCTCCTCTCCCTCCTTCTCCTCCTCCTCCTCCTCCTCATCCTCCCTCCTCCTCCTCCTCCTCCTCTCTCCTCCCCCGCCTTCCTCCTCCTCTTCCTCCTTCTTCCCCTTCCCCCCTCCTCCTCCTCCTCCTCTCCTTCATCCCTCCTCCACCTCCTTCTCCTCCTCGCGCTCCTCCTCTCCTCCTCCTCCCTCCTCCTCCCCCTCCTCCTGCCCCCCTCCTCCTCCTCCGACAGTTGTTTGTTGATGCTGTCCAGCAAGAGGGCCATCAGAGTAAAGTCGCGAGGCTTCAGTCATCGATGTTGCCGTACACCATGCTGTACCAAGGTCCACTCGTTGCAAGTCTCTGCAGGCTTTTGTTTCCACAGCCGCAAGCGCCGCCCTTGAAAGACGAGGGGCTGGCATCGCATCCACCTTGCGAGCGATAAGGAAGGCGAGGAGTTATGACCATACGTAACGAGGTGTCTAGCCAGAGCCTTGTTTTGAACCGGAGCTGCCCCACCCACCAGTGTGCTTGTTGTACATGATTATACTTATTGGCGTTACATAAAGTTGAGGCGGTGTCACAAGATAGTCTCGCGTTTAGAAGGAGCCGCCCTGTTATTACAGATGTTGCGTTCGCTGGTCGTTGCACTTTCATGAGGGCGCAAGCGAGAGCCCAAGTTTGCAACACTGCAATCTTCCACGACGAATGTGAGCGCCCCTGCGGCGAGGGCTGCATTCTGGAAACGGCCCGCCCTCCATAACTGACGCAGGGTTTTAAGATGAATGCGGGCGTCGCTAAGGCGAGCGCCGCTTTTGGAAAACGAGCAGGCCTCTATCTCTGAAGCGGTTGAATAGTTTGAAGATGAGTGTGCGCGGCGCTACGGCGAGCGCCGCATGTTGTAATCGACTCGCCCTCCATGAGTGAGGTTGCTGGTGTTTTCTTAGGTTCAGGATCTTCATTTGCACGGACGTCGAAGCGCCCTGCTGGGCTTATGGCCTATGGACACGACTGGTACCGCGACACGGGGGGAGCTATTCATCAGGAAGCGGCGGCCGGATTAGCGGAGCGATTTGGGCAGAATTCATGCCTTTCTCCCGCATCAATGGTGCCCAATAGCCAGCGCGCCGCCCCCAATAGCGCTCAGCAGCGCCGAGTAGCGCCCAAATAGCGCCCAATGGCGCCATGCGAGGGAGATAAGTTGCGTCCGCTTTGCGCGCTATTGGACGCGCTATTGGGCGCCATTGGGGCGACCAACAGCTTCCGCGAGTTGCTTTCTGGCTCCTGCTTCCGGGGCGGAGGAGAGATATAGAGGTTGGGAAATGGGGAGTGAGGAAGTCTGCTGCTTGCATTTGGTTTCGGCTCCACGGTCGGACACCGTCCCCGATGCATGGTTGCTGTGGCGCGGGGCGGGCGCTTCAGAAAAACCAGCTTCGCGCGGCCCATTCGCTGACGACCCCCCCTTCTGGCACAGTCAAGAAGCTGAAAACACGGACCACTTTGGGCTCGGGATGGGCTTGGGCTTTCGGGGCGTAGGTGCAGGTCAGGGGACCTGTTAGCGGCCGAGGCTCGCTGGGTCCAGAAAAGCCTCTTCGTTACTCATTATGCGCTCCTTTTGGTAGCGCGATGACTGTATCCCCGACTTGTGTCCGCCCGGACATGCCTCCTGCTGCTTTTTGCCGCCCCTCCCTGGCCACCTCCTCGTTCCTCCGTTAGGCGCGCGCCAGTCAGTTCCGTGCTGCGCTGCGCTCTGTGGTCGGGGGCCGGCGGACACCCTCGCCGCCCCTCCAACAGGGCGGTTCAGATCCACCGCCTGCATCTTCGGAGACCTCGGCACGTGGGCCAAATGTATTCAGATCCACCGCATCCGTTCGATCCGATTCGATATGGACTCTGGCCTTCGGATCCGATTCGGCTCCGACTTCTCAGCGGTCCGATGCGGCCCGATGTTTCCACAGCTTAGTTGTAGCAACTATCCAGGCGCAGCCGATCCGATCCGAGTTCGAGTCCGTGCCGACGCAGCCCGATCTGGCGCACATCCCGATTCGATCCGACTTCTTGGATCGATGCTGACTGACCCTGCCCTTCGATGAGGAGGGATGTGGGAAGGTCTCAGAGCATTTCCGCTGGCTCGGGTAATTCTATGGGGTTCTGAGGGGTCCCAGGTGCCCTCTCTCTCTATCTCTTTTTCTCTCGCTCTCTCTCTCTCTCTCTCTCTTTCTCTCGCTCTCTCTCGGTGAACGAGCGACGAGGAGGAAGAAAAGGAGGAGGAAGAGAATGAGAAAGCGGCGGTGGTGGTAGTGCCCAGACATCCTCCGCTGTGAAATTCCACAACGTGGCTCCTGTGACATCTGGACCCCTTCCCCGGGACTGACTTTTCATCCTGAACCGCTTTCTTAGGCCGAGCATTACGAAATCTCCCGTCGTGAATCTCACAACGAAAGGATGTCAGGGGAGGAGGATGAGGAGGAAGACGACGACGACAACGAGGAGAGGGAGGAGGGAGGAGGGAGGAGAGAGGAGGGAAGAGGGAGGAGGGAGGAGAGAGAAGGGAGGAGGAGAGGAGGAGGGAGGAGGGAGGAGGTAGAAGGGAGGAGGGAGGAGGAGGAGGAGGGAGGAGGAGGAGGAGGAGGACTAGGACGCAGGAGGAGGAGGAGGAGGAGGAGGAGGACGAGGTGTTAGTGGCCGTTTGGTGGCCGCCCCCTCGGAGCCCGGACGCGGCCTCCCGGAGCGCCTTCCCTCCTCGCGGCCGTCGATCCTGTCCCCGCCCGCCGCCCCCTCTCAGATGCTTGTTCTGGGGATCTCTCTGGGATCCGTTTAGCGAATCTGCTCGATTCTGGGTCGACTCAAGCTCAACTCTCTAGTCCGACTCGAGGTCGACTCGAGTTCGGCCCCAGTCGACGGACGTTCGACGCAGCGTCGACGCACGAGAGGAGCGAGTGGGCTCCAGGAAGGTCCCCAGGCATCCTCCGTCGTGCTTTTTCGTGCACCTTGGCTCCCCGGAGGTCTGGACCCCTTCCTGGGACCGGCTTCCCATCCTGGAGTTGTGTTTTGACGGTCCTGGGGCCAAGTGAGGCCACGGAGGCCGAAAATTGTCAAGTCACCGCCTGCCGCCGTTCCTTCACAACGGAGGATGCCCGATGATGATGATGATGGTGATGAGGAGGAGGAGGAGGATGGGAGGAGGGAGGAGGAGGAGGAGGAGGAGGAGGAGGACGAGGAGGATGAGGAGGAGGAGGAGGAGGAGGAGGAGGAGGAGGAGTTGGAGGAGGAGGAGGACGAGGAGGAGGAGGAGGAGGAGGAGGAGGAGGAGGTAGTGGAGGGCCTCCTCTCCTAGTTACCTCCTCTCTCAGGTGCATTGCGTGTCCTATTCATCGAGTCCGCCGTTCGGTTGTTTCCTTTTTCGCTCCCTTCGGGGGCGGCCAGATGGGTGGTTGATGACCGGCGGAGTGGATATCATGGCCTGGGCCATGGTATCTCCCCAGATCCCACGGCGCCTCTTCCTATGGCAATATGTCCCCAGCCCCCCCCCCCCCGGCCCGGGCCGCGCACGTGCCCGGGGCCATGCGCTTCGCCCCCTCGGACACCCCTATCTTGGACGTCCCCGATCTCTTGCCCTTTGCGAGCGGCTCCCGGAGCTCCCTGGACGCGGCCCCGCGGCCGTGTCGGTGCCGCCCCGCCCGCCCCGGCACGCCAGGGGCACGCCCGAGTTCGGCGCCAGGGGCGGCGCCGACCTCGCCTGCCGCGGGACGGGCTCGTCGTCGTTTTCCGGCTGGGCGAAAGAAGATTGGAGATGCTCCAGGGGCAACGAGAGGGGGGGGGGGGGGGAATAGGCACAGGGGGGGCATCGACCCCCAATCGCCCATTGATCGCCGATAGGGGCCCGAGAGCCCCAGCCTGCCCAGGAGCGTGCGGATTCACGATCGGGGGCTCGGCGGTGTATCGCCGATTCCAGGCCGATGTGCCCCCCCCCTATGCCCAGTCCTGCTGCGGTCGGCGCTTCGGGGACGTCCATCGGGCGTTCTAGGGCCGCAGACCTCAGAGCCCTTCGTCTCTGATACGTCCTCGATGCGTCCTCGTCTTCGAGATGCTGCGGTTGGCGCTTCGGGGAAAGGTTCTGATTCCAGTCAGCTTTAAGTCGGGCCTGTCCCTCTACAGGAGGAAAATTTTAAATAGTCAAGATAGTCAAAAATATGATGGGGACGTTTTTTTTGTCATGTGTTGACCATTCGGGGATGTTTTGTGACTATTTTTATTTGTTGTGCAAAATCCCCCTGTAGGGGGACGTGCCCGATCTAAAGTCAGCTCTGGGGCCGCAGAGGGGCCCCAAGCTCTCGTGTGCCGCGCCCTTTGCTCCTGCGAGCAGCTCGGCGGGACGGGCTCGTCGTCGTTTCTCGTTTCTCGGCGTCGTCGTAGCCGCCGCTCGTCGTTGTTGAGTCTTCGTCGTCGTCGCTCCATGTAGTTTTCGCCGTCGCTGTCGCTCGTCGTAGTTCTCGCCATCACTGTCGTCGTCACCCGTCGTAGTTTTCGTCGTCGCCGTCGCTCGTTGTAGTTCTCGTCGTCATCGTCATCGTCGCTCATCGTAGATTTCGTCGTCGCCGTCCCTTGTCGTACTTTTCGCCGCGGTCGTCGGTTGTCGTAGTGCTCGTCGCAGGCTTCGTCGTCGTGTCAGTCGCTCGTCGTAGTGTATGTCGTCGTCGGTCGATGTAGTTTCCGTCACAGTTTTCGTATTTATGTTCGTCGTCGTTCGTCGTGCAGTGAGGGCGCTGAAATGAGGAACACTTTGGGCTCATGAGGGGCTCGCTGTTCCTCAGGTCCTTCCATGGTTATGCCTGTAGAGCTCCTAGTGCACTCAGACGCTGTTGGTGCCAGTGAGGGGCTTCGTTCCTTATTCAGTGCTCCTCATGGCAGTGGTGTGACTGCAGTTTTTGTCGTAATCGCCATCGCTTATGTCCGCTTTTGTCGCCGTCTTCGTCGCCCGTCGTAGTGTTCGTCGTTGTCATGTTTGTTGTCGTCGTCGTTGACGGCGTTTTCGTCGCTGTCGTTTAGCAGCGGGTTTTCCAACATCATCAGGCGTCGCTGTGCTTCACACTAGTTTGGCCAACGCGTGGAGGCAGCATCACGACGAATTGGACTGAGTCGTGCGGAAATGTTATCCAGTGGCCTGCGTTTGCACCTTCGTTGGCTGCGGTCATGCACAAACATATTGCAGCTTGTTCGGTTCCGGGTTTTTTGTAGCGAGTCGCGTGCGTGAGGCCAGCAGTGGGCCGCAGCCCCACCCGAGAGCGGGGAGCGGCGCGCAGGAGCGCGCCTGCCGAGGGCGGTCCCGCGTGCGAGCGTCGAGAGGAAGGCGACCACGGCCAGCTCTCCGAAGGCGGCCCTCTGATGCTCGTTCCCGTATCCTGACCGCTTGGACTGTTCGGTGCGCAGACGCGCCAGCGTCCCACGGGGACGGGACGTTCATGCACCGAGCTCCTCGTTCGACGAGTCGTCTTGGTGCATGCGTCTAGCTTGTAGCGCCTCCGGTTCATGTGGTGTGCGGTATGATTGACAGCTACCTGCGGTGCAGTTATGCGGTCATTACCTTGGAATGTTGTGCAGACGCGGTCGAGTCAGGTTACCATGGAGTTTTGAGTTGCCATCGTGGTAGGCTACTTTGCAAGCTGCTGATCACCTGTTCTGCGTTCTCTCTCTCTATACATGTGTGTCTCTCTCCCCCCTCTCTCTCTTCTCGTTGTCTATGTCTTCGTGTTTCTCTCTCTGCTTCTCTCTGCATGCATTTAGTAGAATGTACATGCACGTGCGTAAGTGAGATATCTACGGAGGTGTAGATATATCCCTCCTCTCCCTTCCTCTGTTGTGTGGTGCCCCTTGCTTTCCCATTTATCCGTTCGGATCAGCCGCCCGACTCGCCCGTTAGGGCTCTCTGGGTCCATCGATTGAAAACCACAAGCCGCCCACTTTACTATCCCGCCCGCCCGGCCCGCCCGTCAGGGTCCGCCCGCCCGACCCGCTTGTCTTACGTTGGGTGGAGTTTGAAAGGCGCAGGCGGTAAACCCAAGTCTAAAAAGGAGCCGCCCTCCGTCCGTTTACTGACTATAACTATGGCGGTGTGCGCGGCGCCAAGGTGAGAGGCCCCATTTTGGAAACATTTCGCCCTCCATCTGTGTAGCTATCGGATTTGTTAAGACGAGTGTGCGCGGCGCCGAGGCGAGAGCCCAATTTTGGATTGGGGCCCGCCCTCGGTCCGTGTAGCTGGTGGGAGCTTAACTATTGCGCAAGATTGTAAACGCTGGGGACGTATCATGCGAAACGCCAAGCCCGCCCCAATGGCACGCCCAGTGGCGCGACAGGGAGGCGTTGCTCATAAGGCAGAGAGGAGGAGGAGGAGGACGAGGAGGACCGTTGAAAACTCAGGACTCATCAACGATGTTGGGATCAACCCTTCCTCCAAGCTCCCTCCTCATAGGCCTATACAACGGTTCATTTCCACTGATGGAAGTGCCCCGTTTGGAGACAACCGTTTGAAGATCCAGAAGCGTACCAAAACACCGTTCTCGGATCTTCAATGCCACGAACCCACTTGAGTGTTGCGTCTTGACGGTTCTGAATCGAGCCAGAATATCATTCCTGGGACCTCTATATTGCGAATAAACGTAACCAACGCTTGCAGTTCGACAATCCTGAGTCGCTCCGAAACACCATGTTTGGTACATTATCATTGGGAATCCGTGAAGCTTTCGCAAGTGTTTAGAATGAATTCGCGCTGCGCTTAGGCGAAAGTCACATTTTGAAAAGGAGCCGCCCTCAATCCTTGAAGCTCTTGCGAACTTTGACGAGTAATGCGTGCGGCGCTAAGGCGAGAGCCACATTTTGAAAAGGAACTGCCCTCAATCCGTGAAGCCCTTGCATTTTGTCAGACAGTGCGCGGCGCTGACGCGAGAGCCACATTTTGGAAACCACCCACCCTCCATCTATGAAGCTGCCGCCATCTCTTTGAAGCTTCAGGATTGTAGATGGTCAGGCGAAACGCCCAGTCCGCCCTTCCGACTGGCCCCGGGGTGCGACAGGGAGGAGTTTTTTCATAAGGAAAAGGACTGCAGGAGGAGGAGGAGCAGCAGGAGAAGGAGGAGGAGGAGGAGCAGCAGGAGGAGGAGCAGGAGGAGGAGGAGGAGGAGGAGGAGGACAGAGACGCAAAGAGGCGCGGCCGCAGACCTGGCGGCGCGGCGGGCACGGCACGTCCCCTCGTACCCGATGATGGCAGGCGCCCGCGCGCGCGCCGCGGCTTTCTGGATAGGGGTGCCTCGACTAGACGTCAGAGTGACCCTTCGCCGGAGTGACCTCTGGTGCGGGCACATTGGGGCCCCCCGATCGCCGAACGCTATGTGACAGCAGCGTCTTGCGTGCATTCGTTCAGTCACCTCGCGGCCCCCAAAAGCCGCGCACCGCAGGTCACTCTTACCAAGGATCACTCTGGAGTGCAGCCGAGGCCGCGCCGCGGTCGAGCCGGCGCGGCCGCTCCTCGTCCCACCCTCCTCGCGCGGGCCCAGGACCGGGATGAATTGCTCCATCCAGATCATCCGCGACCGGAGATTTTTGGTACATTGATATTTTCTGTTAAGAAACACCCTCCCGCCAAGCTGGGTCTCAAAACTTTGTAAATTTCGGTGGCGAATTACCAAAAAGGTTGGCCCAGTTTCTCAACGCTGGCATCTTCTTCCAGATCTTCCTCCGTATCGTCTGAATCTTCTCCCAGATCTTTCTCGAGACCTTCCTCTTGATCTCCCCCTACATCTCCCCCCCGATCTTACTCCAGATCTTCCCCATATCTTCCTAGATCTTCCCCAGATCTTCCTCCAGATCTTCTTCCGGGTCTTCCCTTGATCTTCCTCCAGATCTTCCCCGGATCTTCCTAGATCTTCCCCAGGTCTTCCTCCAGATATTTCTCTAGTTCTTCTTAGTTCATTTGCCTAGATCTTTCCCAGATAGTATCCCAGATCTTCCTCCCGATCTTCCTCCACATCTACGCTCAGATCTTCCACCAGATCTTCCCCTTCCCCCCAGATCTTTCCGCGGATCCTCTCCCTCCTCCTCCTCCTCTTCCTCCTCCTCCTCCTCCTACTGTCTCCCTTCCTATTCCTCCTCGCCCTCCTCTTCCTCCTCCCCTGTTTCTCCTTTCTCTTGCCTGGGGGCGAAATGCGGCGCGCACTGGGCGGCGGAGAAGGAGGAGGAGGAGGAGGAGGAGGAGGAAAGTGAGGAGGAGGAGGAAAGTGAGGAGGAGGAAGAGGAGGAGGAGCAGGGGGAGGAGGAGGAGGAGGAGGAGGAGGAGGAAGAGGAGGAGGAGGAGGAGGATGAGGAGGAGGAGGAGGAGGAGGAGGAGGAGGAGGGGGAGGGGGGAGGAGGAGGAGGAGGAGGAGGAGGAGGAGGAGGAGGAGGAGGAAAGTGAGGAGGAGGAGGAGGAAAGTGAGGAGGAGGAAAGTGAGGAGGAGGAGGAGGAGGAAAGTGAGGGCGAGGCCACCACCAGTACAATCACGAGCAAAATCTCCAACGCGACCACCAGCAACATCTCTAGCAGAACAGCCAGCGCAATTATTGACAAAGGAATGTGTTCCAAATCTCCGCCAGCTCACCAGCACTTTCTCCACTGGGTTTTTCCTCCGCCAGCGTAGCAGCAGAGTCTCCAGCAAAACCGACGTCCGCCTCTCCAGCAAACCAACCAGCAGAAACACCATCGCATCCACCAGCACAACCACGAGCGCAACCACTGTCGCAACTACCAGCGCCATCAGCAGCAAAACCGTCAGCAGCGAAACCACCATCAAAACCAGCAGCACGATTGCCAGCACACAGGCCAGCGCAACCACCAACAGAACCACCAGCCTAACCATCAGCAAAAGCACGGCCGAACCGTCAACGCCACCAGCACGACTGCCACCACGCTCACTAGCACAACCATCAGCAAAAACATTGCCGAACCGCCAACGCCACCAGCACGACCGCCACCACGCTCACCAGCGCAACCACGAGCACGAATGAAGAGCGGCGAGGGCGGCTGGATCCTCTTCCGTATCTTCCGAAGTCATTTCCCGATCTTCTTCCATATCGTCCTCCAGATTTTAGGCCAGATCTTTTCCCAGGTATCCTTCCATATGCCATATGCTTGCCCATTCATTTCCCCAACATCTATTGTTACATATCGATTTCAACAGATGTTCCTTCAAATCTTCCCTCGGATCTTCCTACAAATCTTCCTCTGTATTTCTCCAGGTCTTTCGCCAGGTTTTCCGCGGGATCTTTTCTTTTTTCCCGCCAGGGTTTCCGTCGGATAGTTGCCCAGTTGTTTCCCCAGATCTTCACCCAGATTTCCATCATTCAGATTGTTCCAATTGTTTACAAGATTTTTCTCCTGATCTTCCCCAATACGTTGTCCTGTTGTCCTTGGTTTCTTCCCGGACATTCTTCCAGATCGTTCCCAAGATCTTCCTCTAGATCTTCCCCCCGATCTTCCGTCATTTGCACTTCTTCCTCATTTCGCTCCCCAGATCTCCCTCTGGGTTTCTAGATCTTCTTCCAGATCATCGTCCACATCTCTCCCCGGAGCTGCCTCCAGATGTTCCGCCCAACCCTGCTCCAGATATTCCCTCAAGATATTTTCCGACATCTTCCTCCAGATGTCCCACTGTTCTTACTTCATATATTATTGCAGCTATTACTCCAGATCTTCACCCAGATCTTCACCGAGATCTCTCCTCCAGATCTTCCCCCAGATTGTTCTCCAGATCTTCCTCCAGACCTTGCCCCAGATATTCTCCAGATCTCCCCCCAGATCTTCACCCAGACTTCCCCGAGATCTCCCCTCCAGATCTTCTTCCAGATCTTTCCTCCAGATCTTCCTCCAGATCTGCCCCCAGATCTTCGTCCAGATCGCACCCCAGATCTTCACCCAGATCTTCGCCCTCATCTTTCCCGAGATCTCTCCTCCAGATCCTTCACCAGATGTTTCTCCAGCTCTTCCCCCATATCTGTTCCAGATCTTCCTTCATATCTCCAATCAGATCTTCACCCAGATCTTCATCGAGATCTCTCCTCCAGGTGTGTCTCCAAAACTTCCTCCAGATCTTCCTCGGGATCTTTCCCAGATCTTCACCCAGATCTTCCCCGAGATCTTTCCTCCAGATCTTCCCTCAGCTTCTTTTCCAAATTTTCCACCAGCTTCTTCCCCCAGATCTTCTCCAGACCTCCCCCCAAATATCCACCCAGATCTTCCCCGAGATCTCCTCCTCCAGATCTTCCTCCAGATCTTTCTCCAGATCTCCCTCCAGATATCACCCCAGAACTTCACCCAGACCTTCCCCTAGATCTTCACCCAGGTCTTCACCCAGATCTTCACTCAGATCTTCACCCGTGTTTTCCTCGAGATCTCTCCTCTAGATATCTCCCAGATCTTCCACCAGATGTTTCTCCAGATCTTCCTCCAGACCTTCCCCCAGATCTTCACCAAATCTTCGTCCAGATCTTCGCCCAGATCTTCACCGGGGTCTTTCTCGAGATCTCTCCTCTACTGTAGATATTCCCCAGATCTTTCTCCAGATCCTCCTTCAGATCTCCCGCCTGTCTTCGTCCAGATCCCCCGCCACATGTTTCTCCCTATGTTCTTGCATGTTGTGTTTCATACATTTGCTGCAGAGCCCCCGGCCCCGCAATCGGCATCATCACCGGCGCAATCTTTATCAAAATCACCAATGTTGGCGCCGCGGTGCGCTAAGAAACTGCACGCTTCAAAGCTGGCTCTCGCAAGAGGGCTAAAACATTCAGCGAAGCTGGATTTCAATTTATTTCTGGTAGATTTCTCCGCATAAGTTTTGAGTAGTGGATGTCGGGCGCGCCAGATTCCAGTCGCGACTGGAGGAGGTCGCATTTCGGTGACGAAGAGAGGGCGCATCGGGGTCAAAACGAGGGTTCCGAAAACGCGGGCGGCTCGCTCTTTGCCGGAACTCGCGACTGGAGGCCGAATTTCGGTCGCGACGGGTTCGTCCAGAGCGTGATCGAAAGTTATCAGTAACGGCTGATCTTGGCTGGTTTCGCCAGCGATGTGTTTCCCCAAATCCCCGAGCCCCTCCCCCCCCTTTGACTAGACGCAGGAGTGACGCTTCGCCGGAGTGGCTTCGGATGTGGGCCCAGGGGTCCCCCGATCGCTGAATGCGATGCGAAAGCAGAGGCATGCGCGCTTGGGTTTGCCCTCCCCCCCGCCCACGCCCACACCCCCGCGCCCCCTTGGGCAGGGCGTTCAGGGACGCTCTCAGCGCGCTGTGGGCCGGCATGCCGCCGCGCGCGCCTCGTTTTCGGGGGAGAGCCAAGTCGACGGCTATATGATTTTTTCCCATTGCGGCGTCTTCCCTCGATTTCGGCCTCCGGGGCCCGCCATGGGGCCCGGGGACCATTCAAAAACGATCCATCCAGGGCACAAAACTACTGGGGAAGGGGTCGGGGGCTCCAGGGCCGCGGAGCGGAGACATCGCTCTGAAACGGCCGCGGCACCCGATCTCAGCCTCGACCTCACCTCGGTCAGAACGGACCCCAGGATAGGCCCTCCAAGTCACGTCGTCGGAGGCATTGGCCTGGGGCGTCCTCGTGGCCACGGCTGGACTCTTCTGCATCCTGGTCAGAACGGACCCCAGGATAGGTCCCACCAGTCACGACGTCGGAGGTATTGGGCCCTGTCTTCTGAGAGCGGTGGGAATTGCCCTTGGCCGCTCAGCGATCGGACCTCTCGCGGCCTTGGAACTTGCCTCCTTGATCGAACGGCCTTTCTGCCGAGGAGCGAGTCTTGGTGAAGCTGCCCAAGTTGTTGAACCGCTGGAGAGCACTCAGAGATCTCACGGTAGGTTTGAGTCGTGTCGACCAGCGGCGACCCCGCCGCCGGCGTTCAACGCTGAACGCCGCCAGCGTCAGAAACCAACGCCGAAGTGGGTACGACACGAACTTGCCGTGTGTCTTGTGGGAGAGACAGGGCGCAGCTCAGCGCAGCGCCACCTCGCCTCATCACAGCCCGCGCAGGGAGTCAGCAACAGGACAACGTGCGTGGGCGCCTTGCCTGTACTGTCGGCCGATCGGCGCCGGCTGTCGGGGATGCTGAGGTCGGCGCTCTGGGGGCTCCGAACGCCGCCCACGTCGCACACATGTCCGCGCGCAGGTGGAGCAAAGAGGCACCAAGTACCAATACTACGACTCCCTAGGCCTCTTCGGGGGTGCGCCCCGACGTGGAATTCCAGGCGAATCTGGCCGCGACGACGAGGGAAGGGGCGAGGGCCTCCAAATCTTCATCGAGTTGCTGCAGTGCGCTCGCGCGGGCAATCACATGCTTCCCCCTCCCCCTTCAGCCAGTGCTGCGCTGCGAGTCTCCATTCCCGCGTCGGTGGCGGGCCAAGGCCCAACCCTCGCGGGAGTCCCTCGCTCGGGAAGGAAAGTCCGCCCCCCTTGGCTCCGCAAGCTCCGCCGACCGCAGCGGCAACGGTCCCCGCCCCTCCTTCGAGCGCGCGCGCGCGGGAGGCACGGCCCAGCACTGCCGCAGGCGCGCGAAGGTCATCGCGCCTCGCGCGCCGCAGCCTGGGCGGGACAGCCCGCGCTTCTCGAGGGTGGCCTCGCCGAGGGGCGGAGAGGACCGCGCGTCGCGCACCGCGGGGTGCGGCGCGCGGAGTGAGGCGGCCTGGCGCGGCCCGGGTCCTAAGTCGTTCGAGTCGGGGATGGGCTGCAGGATCGGTTCCCCTCCAACGGGACTTTCTCGGCGAGTCTAGCTAACAGATACGTCCTATTCCCCACGGATTCGGCGAGCACGTCCATGTATCAGTGTGGGGGTACATCGATTCTGTAGTCGAGATCCCCCCCTGCTCCAGTCGCGGTGTCTCTGCCCGCAAACGCTGAGCCCCCCTTCGAGGCGACGAGGACCTGGAGGCCCCCGCGCATCAGCAGCCCAGCCGCGCAAGGAGGGTCGCCTCGCTGAACAGGCCCCGTGCAGGGGCGGTGGGGGGTGGCACGGCAGGCAGGGCCGCCTACGGTCCGATTCGATGTGATTCGATTCGATTCGCCGTCCAAGGCCGCGATTCCCAGACCCCCTCGGGTCATGAAGACATCCCGACGGAAGGTTTTTCCTACTTCTCGGACTCTGGGGGCCCTCAGTGGGCCTCGTCAGCGTTAAAAGACGGCGCGGGATGAAAAACTGCTCCTGGGAAATGTGTCCAGACCTCTGGAGGTCGACATCATGAACAAATCATGACGTCGGAGGTCTGGGTTTCGACTGGATCCGATTCGAGTCAGCTCGATTCGCCGGCATCGGTTGAGGCCACGCCTGAACCAGGCGCAGCGAGCCGATTTCGGTTCGAGTCTCGGGAGGATTAGGTGAAGATCTGTCCAGTTGCCGATCCGACTCAATTTCTCGGCGGCGAGCCCGGGGGGAAATGAGAAGGGGCGGGCCACCCCGGATCGATTTACGGCGGCACAGGGGCCGGTAACGGGCCCGCAGCGGCCAAAATCTGAGAACAATTCCGGCACGATTTGTTTGGGACTCTTTTTTTCTCTTCATCCTCCTTTGTCCCCTCCTTCGCCTCCTCCTCCTCCTCTTCCTCCTTGTCCTCCTCCTCGTTCTCCTCCTCTTCCTCCTCCTCCTCCTCCTCCTCCTCCTCCTCCTTTTTTCTGCGG